TGTGTCTGGGTGAAGATCTCTTTGGATCATGTCTGTTGGGAGTTCTCTGTCCATCCTGTATGCGGGGTGGATTCGTGTTCCAAGTGTTTTGGAAGTTTTCCTGTATAATTTCGTCAAGCACTGCTTGCATCCCTGATTCTCTTTCTACCCCCTCGGGGAGGCCGATGATCCGAATATTCAATTTTCTAAGGTAATCCTTCATCTCTTGCATCATTTTATTAGTTTTGCTGAGGCTTGTCTCCAGCTGTTTAATTCGCTGGGCACCTTCATTTTGTGTGTCTTCTGTTTCAGAGATCCTTTCCTCTGCCGCATTTATTCTGTTGATGAGGCTTTGAATTTTATGATCTTGGGTATCCAGTTTGGTTTTGATTTGTTGTATTTCGGTGATTATGCGGTTCTGGAGGTCTTCCAGCTTCGTGTCCACGTCTCTGATAAATTTTAGCATTATTTTCATCAATTCCTTTGCTGGTAACTCTTCCATGTCTTCATCTCGCATCGCCGATATTGATAATGGCTTTTGGCCCTTGTTTGGTGGGGTGCTGGCTCTTTCATCTGGAGCACAACTCTTTCTGGTGGTTTTTCCCATTGCGTTGGTGTATTCTGGTGGGGCAAATGGACCCGTGTGTTGAGGGGCCGTCAGGTGCTTTCCTGTAGAGATTGGAGCCTGCAGGCGTGGTGTTGCCGGGCGTGGTAATTTTCAAGGCACCGTTGGTGCGTTCTCAGGGCCCGGGGCTGTAGAGCACCACCTTGGGGGCCCAGTGGATTCCAGGCACACTCTGGGCACCTCTTCTACAGGTGTGACACCCCAGGGCGTGGAGGGATGGAGGCGCTCTCTGGGTGTGCCCCCTGCACGGGAATCCACAGGGCGTAGAAGGTTTTATGTGCTTTCTCCCTGCGTTCTCCGTGTCAGGGACTGCAGGGTTTTTCAGAGCCCACCTGGTGCGTCTCCCACACACGGGACTGTGGGTGAGGCACTTTCTAGGCGTGGCTCTTGTGCAGTGATTCCACCACTCGTGGTGTGTGGGTGTTCAGAGCCCCTGCTCCCGTGTGGCTCCCCCACACAGGCCCTTAGCGGAGGAGTGACCCAGGCGCCCTGTTATAATGACTTCACGGCGGCAGGTTCGCACCATATCAGTGTGGTGCAGGAGTTTTCAGAGCTCTCCTGGTGGGTCGCCCACGCTCAGAACTGCGGGGTGGGAGGCGAGGAGTGAGCAGTTCACACTATGGGAGTGGTACCTGCGTGTCAGGGACACACAGCGCTACACTTCCCAGTGCTCAGAGCCCTCCTGACACCTGCGCTGCGGAGGCGGCTGCTGCAGGCGGGGCCGCCCAGCCCGCCCGGCACAGCGTTCAGAGTCCTCCTGGTGTTGTCGCCCACCCACTGGGTAGGGTGTGGGGGATTCCAGACCCTCGCCGGCAGCCTCTGCGCACTGAGATGCACTGGCCCCCTCAGCGCAGGAATATCTGAGGCGCTTTCCCGGGGCCTTCTCAGCCATGAATACCACTGTGCGCCGTTCCCAAGGCACAGACCTGACAGTTTCAGGTTGCTTGCCCTGTGTTCTCAGAGGCTGGAACCTCTGCAGGGGGTGAGGAATGCGGAGGCTGTTATGTTAACCCCTAGCTCACCAAACGTCCGGCTGCTGCAGTCTGCCTCTGCTGCTGTTGAAGACCTCCGCCGGCGACGATCCCTCCCGATTTCCCTGTCTCCGAGCTGGCCGCGTCTCCCGTCAGGCCGTTTTCAAAAGTGACTCAGCAGGTCTGGAGTGGGATGTCGGCTTCTCTACCTTTGCCCTGCTCCGTTCTTGTTGTTCTTCCGAGTTGTGTGGATCTTTTTGGCTCCACACTGTCCCAGGGAGCTTCACGCACCTCTCCCTGCGGTTCCCTGCTGTTCCTCTTTGCTGCTTCTGTAGCGTTCTATCCCTCTCTCACTGGACGCTCCCTCACAGCCTTCCTCCTACGTCGGCCATCTTAAAACCCATTCATTCTTTCAAACAAAGTCCTAATATGGTTCTAAAAGTTGTCAACATTTAGCTATGTAGAAGGTATATTCAACTCTACTCAAATTATTTTAATTCATACTGGCTGATGGCATTAGCTACAGTCTGATAAGAAATGTATTGTGGGCTAAGGAGTTGATTAGCACTCAATAAGCTGAGCACCTACAGGATATGGGTTTGGGGCAAGTAGCACCTGGTCTAATCAGACTCATTAGCATCCTATTCTGTTAAAGGGCTTGGGGAAAGAATATATAAGGCATAATAAAGGGAGGCTTCAGAGAGACTTCCACTATCACTGGTCTCCTGTCGGTGTTACTGGCTCTGCTAGCCGGAGCAAATGGCACCCAATGTGGGGCATGGCATGAAGGACATCTGAGGGACGCCTGAACCTACAAAGGTAAGTTTAGAATTTAGGAATTTTGCAGGGGCATAATTGATTTCATCGCTAGACCGTCTCCCTGTGCTAGGGCACAAGGGACAATCTAAGGGACCCCTGGAAATCTGGAGGGGCATAATTAATTTCATCCCCATACCTTCTCCCTGTCCAGTGGCACGAGTGACAATCTGAGGGACCCCGGACATCTGGAGGCAAGTTTAGGATTTAACTCTAGAGGGGCATAATTAATCTGAGGGACCCCAGAAATCTAGAGGCAAGTTTAAATATTTTGCAGGGGCGTAATAATGGGAGGCTTCAGAGACACTTCCACCATCACTGGTCTCCTGTCAGTGCCTCATCCCTCAGACCCTCCTGGTGTCCATGTTACTGGCTCTGCTGGCCAGAGCAGAAATGGGCCTATATGTTGTTTGATTGCATTTCTTTGGTCTCTGATGGGAAAATGTCTTGGCTGGTTTGCTATATCATTTTAACAAACTTCCTTCTGCTTTTGTTTCCTTTTCTTCTGTCTTGTGCCACTGGACAAATCACAAAATCCATACTATTGTTTCTTCATATGTTATATGTGAATAATAATTGCACAACATCATGGGATACTTGCTTAAACTCATAAGGCATTTTGTATCTCCATGTATCCACGCAACATTGTATGCATTGGGATAGTATGTAATGCATTCATTGGAAGTCCTCTCAAAACATTGCTTCTATTTACAGTACTTAAAGTGAAGCATATTCTTCTATTAGTTGTCCCAAAAGGCAAGAATTGTGTTCACTTTTCCTCTCAGTACTATGAATCGATCTATGTGTTAAGACAAACAAATCATGAACTCCCTTCATCTTTATCACAAGACTGGAGCAACCTATGGATTGGAATGTAGTTGGTGAGGTTTTGTTTGTTTTTACTGGGCCAAATTGCTGGTAAGTTTAAGGAAGTTCAGATGCGTCCTTCAGTATTTTGTTACCTGGTATCCAGGAATATTCCTTTATCAAAGCAATAGGACTGGTGATGGTATGCTAATTTGTGGATTAATGATTTAATAAAAAAATCTACATTGCCCCCTAAGGATGAACTCCAGTATGTTGAATTGAGCTGACAAGTGTTGAATGAATGAGCAAACTCTGAGACTCTAAATTCTGTTCAAACTATTATTCTTGACTACATATATGTATATATATAGTATACGCTTTGTGTATTTTCCCTTATTCTCCAAGTTCTGCCATGAATCTGGTCATTGAGAGCATACATTCTAGCAAAGGGAGCTGGTGCTTGGTAAGCTATGTGACTATTATGTTTAAGTGAATTGCACATTGTCTTGATTTGCAAAGGCTAAAGAGAAGATGCTTGAGCAACTGACAGCTGTCAATCAACAGACTACTGTATCCATGACATGATTCTGAATATAAACCATGCTTATATTTCACTGAGAGCACTTGGTTATAATGTTATGGGAAAATGAATAAAATAAGCCATTTATAGCCCTATCCTGGAAGCCAGTAAGGCTGGCATATGGTGAACCCACTTCAAGCTGCTTCCGAAGGAGCAAACTGCAACGCACTCCAATGTCACAGATAGCATCGTGTGGCTCCGGATGAGTCATTCGCTGCTGTTTTCAATGTTGGCTAAAATCCTTTTGTTAAACACTGATATCTTAACTAATTGGCAGATAAGAAAACCAAAACCATAAACCCGCCTCTACTCCAGCTGAGGCCATTCCTAGGTGAGGGAAGGATCAGCAAGAGGCCAGAAGGTTTCAGAACAACAAAGTCAGCGAAGCGGAGCATCCATTCAAACTATTCGCCGAATGACAAATAAACCAGACCAGAGACTCGCCAGCTGTCCACACTGGAAAGTTACCGAACGTTTATTCGGGTTCAAGTTTTATTTATGCCATGCAGACGGAACAATGCATTTCCTACGGGGTTGAGATGATTTCTGATTACGTGAACAAGGAACTGAGTATTTCTCTCGGCAGAGTACTTCCTTGGAGCGCTTCTACACTCCCCTATCTTCCCACCAGCCGCTCCTGGGACCCGCACCTGGGGAATCCAGCCGTCCGTCGCCCGTCCTCGGGGGCGGTGGCTGTGCTCGCTTTGCGCTCGCCTGCCTACACAGGTCCGGCTTCCCTGCTTGCTTACCACACTCGTCTTTCAAACTCCGACTTCTGGCACAGGGCAGCTTTCCCGCTCGCGATCCGCCAGCAGGCGCAGGCGGCGGGGTCCGCGCGCGAACAAAGGCGGCGCGGGGCGCGGGGCGCGCGGCCGGGGCTGGCGCGCGTCTCTCTCCGGCTCGAGGCGGCGGCGCGGGGCCCGCATTCCTCAGAAGCTCCCGGAGCCCGCCGGCCGACGTCACCCCGGCTCCGCCCCCGGCCCTCCCCGAGCAAAGTAACTCTTGACTAGCAGGAGCAGCCTCGGCGGAGCATGGAGAGCAGGCGCCGTGGCCGGCGGGCCACTCTTTCGCCTCCGAGGTAGTTTGGCGACCGCGCAGCAGGGAGAAAGTGCGGGCGGGCGGCGGTGGGTTCCCGCCCTCAGCCCGGGAGCCGCCCGGCGTGTACCTCAGGCGCGGGGGTTTCGCCGCGATTCCTCCCCTCCCCGCAGCGCTTTGCAAAGCTGCTTGAAACTTCTCCCAAACTCGACATGGAAACAGCGGCGGCGGCGGCGCTGCCCGCGTTCCTGGCGCTCTGGTTCCTCTCGGCTTGGCTTTTCCTGGGGTCTGCCCAAGGCCAGTTCTCCGCAGGTGAGTGACCGGAGGAGGATGAGGCGTTGCGGAGCCCCGGCGGGTGCACCCCAGCCCAAGGCTCACCAGGACTGAAGCTCGGTCCTCGCTCGGCTTTGGAGCTCGGGTCTGGAGGCAACTTTGGCGGCCCCGGGACGGTGGAGTGGGAGGGAGGACTCTGGTTCGAGGGCGGGATGTCCCTGGAGTTTGGGCCAGGTGGGACGTGGGGCAGCGGACCAGGCGCCACTTGGCGCAGGTAACTTTGATCTTTGCCACCCATTGTTCCTCCTTGCTGCGCGCTGGGGGCGCAGGCTGCTTAGAGACTAGGCTTCTTGTGGGGGCAGCTGGTGAATTCGGCTTCCTAAACAGCCTGTCCCGCTTCGGTAGGGGAGATAAAGAAAAAGTAGCTGGGACCCTGAACGCAGCTACTCCGTCGCTCGCGGCTCGGGCTGGTTGCTTTCTGTCCCTGGAGTGCTCAGGAGAATTCCCCGGGAAGCCATTGTCGGCAGCGTGGACACGGGAAACGGCTGCCCTGGGCGCGCTTTGCCAGGTGCTTTTTGTCCCGGGAATAACCGCCCTGGACTATCTTCCAACTCCTTCCTTCCCTGTCCCTCCCCGAGTCCTCCTTTTCCTCTACCAGCTCCGAATCTCTGCTGGGCTCGCTCCTTGAGCTGGGTCGCCGCTTGGAGTCTCTTCCTAGTGTTCTGGCAGGGCGGTGCGCGGTATTTTGAAATGCGATCCTAAGGATCCGGCGCTCAGCACTCCTGGGCAGCCAGGTCTGGACGCCCGCCGGGTCGGGGAAGCCCGACCCCGCGCCAAGGGAGCCCGTTTGTCTGGCAGAACCGCCACGAAGCTGGCCAGCACCTCCCAGAGCCTGCCTGGGTCACCGGGGCTGTGGACGGCTGCTACCCGCCAGAACTCCCGGACAGGTCTGGGGAACGGTGCCTCAGGTGGTGTCCTTGGAGTTCCCTGTCCAGCCACTTGGAGAAGTCGGTGAACCCTGGCTCTCCCCGCACAATCCTCGGTGCCGTTCCCTTCCAGTTTCGAGTTTCTTCCCGGAGATTGGTTGACTCTAGCGTTTTCTTCTTCTGGGGCCTCTGAAGTTTGGCCAGGTGGACGCTGGCGAGGGGGGTGCCCCCGGGACGCTCGTCTGCCTCCTGCCTGTCCTGAAAAGTTTTCTGGCCACCACACCCAGTTTGGCGAGGCTAGGGAGCCATTGTGGCTGGCGGGCCAGATGAAGAGGCAGAGGTGGCCTGGAGGGTAATCCAGAAGGCAGGAAAAGCGACATCCGTGCTCCTGGGTGAGGCCTCGGAACGTGGAGAAAATAACTTTGGACTTGACAGTTTCCCCATGATGTTGTGGCTACTCTGTTTCCCTGGAAGTAAACTCACATTGTTTTCCGGAGTAATCTTTTATTTGTCTTCCATCACGCCTCTCCCCCTCCGCCGCACCCCCCACCCCACACACCCCGGGATAACTATAAAAGGACCTAGACAACAGATTCAGGTGGCAGCTTGTGTTGTACACCCAGGCAGATGTGACAGCACACACGGAAGAGCCATGTGTATAGGTGATATATGCAGAGGGCCGCCACTCTTTGCAATGAATGAGCCCATGGCTTAATTTAATTCTCTCTGGAGTGAACGTTGCTGCGTGCCTCTGTGACATACAAAGCCCGCTAGGATTGGAAGCGTGCTTGATGTAGCTCATTATATGCGAGCGGGTTGGAGTGAGTATTGATTTCTGCAGTGTTTCTCACTGCACGGAGAGCCCACGCTCGAAAAGGCATGTAGTTGGTTAATTGAAAGTTTCAACTCCGCCAGTGCGTGATTCAATTTACATGCAACCTAAAGCTGCAGCAATTAATGCCTGTGTCGTTGGTGAATGTATTTTGGTCGTGAAGAAACTTTCCTTTTTCTGAAACGTTTTTTACCCTTGGATGAATAAGTGAATATTAAGTTTCCTCCAGCACAATGTTACAGATGCGCTTGGCTGATACCTGGAGTCTAGATGTCTTGAATGAACAATTGTGTCTTAGACTTCCACTTCTAAATAGTTTAAATCAACATGCCCAGCCTTTCTGTTGTGACAAAGTAAAAAAATTAGACTCTGTGGGATATCTGAAGAAGAGAATGTGCAGTTCTATTACATATGCATGTTGTATTTCGAGATTTCTGTCGTTTACGATTCGTGGCTATGCCCCAGCTTGATGGCCTTTTGCTTCAAGATTGTAGAGTCAGATTGTGGATCTGCCTTAATTCATAAATTACGTTTATAACTATGTTTTTAGCTGTCATTAATTATTTTACAGTCTAATGTTTATTCAGTTACAGGTTTGTTGCAAAGACTTTGGAGATAGGTGATACAGTCCTGTTGTTTTCTGGTTTAAATCAACTGCTGTTATTTGTTTTCAAGTAAGCTTTAAAAGTCTAAGACATGTTCACTTTCAGAATCTTAAAATAGCAGCTCCTGTTACATATGTGTTTTACATCACATTAGGTCCAGTTCAGCACTTTTGGATATGAACAAGTGGTTCCTAATGAAATGATTTTCAGAAGTGATTTTGAAAAACTGCCAGTTGCTGGACACTTAGGTGTCATCTACTTAGTCTGCTTTTTAAAAAAACCACCAATCTAAGAATTTTCATTCTTATGCCTTTTCCCCCCTGAGTTTTGGGAGTCAGATTGTAAAACTGCTGCATGGCATACCTCTTTTAAACCAAAATTTACTGAAAACATCACGCCTATATTCTTAACCTGGCCCTTCAGTGGTGAATCTGGTGTGTGTGTGTGTGTGTGTGTGTGTGTGTGTGTGTGTGTGTGTGTTATGTCAGGAGAAACTGCATCAAAGGTGTACATCCTGGCACTGAATTTAATTCTCTGGATTACACAGCTGCCATTTCCGCTATCATAAGGTAAGAAAGTTTTCGGGAGTGGAGCCATGATGAGTGGCAGAAACCCATTGGCGATGAGGTGCCTCAACTTTCCCATCTGTAAAATGGAGATAGCAATTCCTGACCTACATTTCCCCATGGTTTTTATGAGGACTCAGTGCAGTGATTCATGTGTACTAGCCCTGTGGATTGTAAAGATGATGCAGCTCTCAGGGGTGTCATCATCTCAGATGATGTGTGGCCCAGCTGCCTTCCCCCCAGGTCCACTCTGTACTGCCCCTGAAGTCTATTGCCACTGAGTACAGGCCGTACAAGGTTTGTGAGTATGAAGGTGGGTGTGTTTCACACTGGCTGTCGTTCATTTTAATCAACGTTAAACATAAATGTCCTGGATTAGCCAGACCATAACCTTATCAATGTAACAAGAGAAGTCATACTTCAAAAATTTTGTTTTTGCCTGCTGCGTGTAAATCCTTACTTGAGTTCAACCTGTGGACTGACTTGCTGTTAGCGTTCCTGGTAAGTTAATTGCGGAAAAGCTATATCTTTGGTCATTTTGTTTAGCTGTTTGTTCAACTGTTGATTCAGCCCTTTCATCTCCATGCAGAGAACAATATATAGCTTTTAGATGCAGTCTTATCCATGACCTAGAGAGGGACTATTGTCTCTCTGGTGTGGTGTGAGCCTGGAAATGCTGCTTTGGACTCTGCCTTGGATGTACTCCCTGACACGTCGAAGTGTTGATCCCTAAGGACCTTGCAGCCTGACCAAGCGCTGCCACTTTTCCTGCATCCCACTCTTTGTTGTCTGTCTGTGTTTGGAAATAACTTGACTTCTATGGATTACCTGCTAGGAGGTACCTTTGTGCTCGGCTTTTTTAGTTTTCTGTGTTTATTGGCCAGGATCCTTTGGTAAGATTATTAAAAATGCTTTCTGTTCATTAGAAATGGCATGTGACGGGCCATTTCTAGGATGGGCTTTTCCCTCACGTGTCCCCTTAAATCTGGCTATTGGTGTTTCTGGATTGTAAGGGGTAGGTGACTTTGTGTCTGGCCTGGCCAGACGGGAAGAGGCTAGTGTGGATGCTATTTGGGCCCTGGCGTGTATGCTGCTGACAGCTCTTCTCTGTGTTCATGAATATGAATTTGAAAAACAAATCAAACCCTCTGCCACACTGCCCCTCTCCCACATGCCCTCCCACTTGTCTGGTAGCACCAACAGAACTCCAAGGACCCAGACACAAAATCACAGCCTTTTTGTTTTTCACAGATCTCTTTTGATGTGTTCTTAAAAAACTGAAAATATGACTCATGTACTACTCCAAGTCCTTGCCAGTTGTCTCACCAAACCTTATATTTCTGGCAAGGATAGTGAAATATATGCTGTAACCTTTGAAAGAATGTTTAATTCACGTGCTTTGATTCTACATGGAGGCAGTGTTGATCCATTCAAGGTGGTGTGTGGTGTTCAGGACAGGGTAAGCTGTGCTCACTGTGGTTCTGTATTGTTCCTTTTTTCCCTCTTTGCTCTTTATGGAGCCTGCAGGAAGAACAGTGGAAAACAGCAGGAAACATCAAGAGCATTTGCAGAGTGTTCTTAGAGACAAGAGAAGAAATATAAGGATTCTGTGTATAAATGTGTGTGTGTATTTGATCTTTTAATTGTCAAAAGAGGCAAAATGTCCCAGTTTTGGGCTGTTCTTTTGGAATCAGACTTTGCCTTTGTCCAAATACATTCATTTCATATTCTGTCGATGCAAACATTTTCCTCTTGTGTTTGCCTCTCAGACTTTACCTTTGATCATATGTTTCTGGTCGGTGTTCCTTTCTCAAATGGTGTTTCTCTTTTCCTAAAAAGGTTGTAATTGCTTTTGAACATGTCTTGTTTTTTTCATCCAAACTCATGCTGTTTGTCATGGTTGCTGAAAAATAGTACAAGACATATCAATCCACGATTGTGTTTTAAAGTGGTATTTGATTGTAAAGTAAGTGAATAATACATCAATCAACCTAATTTTTATTTCAGTTGAAGCCAGAAGCAAACTTGCTTATCTGTGGGATAATCTTTTAAGGTTGTAGAATTTGTTGTACTTATTTGTCTCTGAATAAGTTAGTGACTTAAAGCCACT